TTCTGCCGGGCAGCTATCGCAACACGGTTCTCGTGAACAGGCGCCTTATCGTATAGAAAGAGGATATCTTTGGTCAATTTTTTTTACTGCTTCCTTTAACCGCTCTAGGATTGGAGCATAGTATTCTCCGGTTATGGAGACACTTTTACCTTTATAATCGATCAACAGGATCCCTCCTAAAAGACTGTCGCCATGATTTTCCTAGCCGACTGTGACACCTTAAACATCTTGGGTGGTGGTGTACCTATTTTTATGCCACTGCATAGAGTCCTGATTGGACTCAGGTTCATAATGATGAACCCAAGTGTCGTCCCCAATAACAATTCGAGTCAACATTCCATCTTTATCTTCACTACACACGAAAACAATCTACACGCTGTTGTTTTTAAGGTGGTGTTAGCATTCCTGGCACCCATCTTGCTATCTTGCCCTGACTTTAGTCTTGCCAAAATGTTCGTGAAAAATTTTAAAAATGGTTGTATTTGATACTCCAACAATTTCTGCGAGTTATTTCTTCTTAATTCGGGCATCTTCCATTATTAATTTTTCGTCTTTTTGAATGATTTCCGGAGTGGTCACCTCGATCGGCTTTCCTGTCCGTGAGTCNTGTTCTGTCGGAGCTGCCTGCGACGCGCTGATGAGATCCAAAAAGATCGAAATCGCGATCCGCGTCTGGCAGTTTCGACAGAATACAGACCACTTCGAATTATTTCATTTGATTTTCCTTGCTTGGTAAGGAACTTTATAACAGCGCGATACTCGATTTTCTCCATATTTCACAATTTGTTCCCGATTGACTTGTTTCGTCGACGATAGTTCAAAGACTATTGACGTAATTACCTACCTACCTAATAAAACTTATATATACATAGTATTTATACTAATAATAAGTACTTTAATATCTCGTGGGTCATGACGCTGGCAAAATGACGACTGTTCATTGATTTCAACTTTTCATTAAAAACAGTAGTGTCCTGGTTTTCAGCGTTTAGATTATTAGACCTTGCCGCCCCTTGTTGTAAAGCGATGCACACGGTTAACAGGAGGGTCAATATTTTTGAAGCTCAAGTCCGCTCCTCCGCTCAGAACATTTTCCAATACTTCTTCTGTAGAAAAGTGCATTTTCCATCGCTATATTCTATTCGTATAAGTTGTTAACTAATTAATAGATTCATCTGAACTGCCTTGAATACATGAATTTTCAACATTGGACTCTAGCCCATATTTTTTTGACTTTTTAGTATATTGTCTTTATCCTATTTGTATTGCACTAATTGTAACAACTTTAGAAACATAAAACTCACTCACTCCATTTTAGTAAAACTGACAGTATTTTAGCAGTCACTAATTAAATCTATTTCATTCTATTCATAACAAGGTAGTAATTAATGTGTTCAGTTTCTGGAAATTCGCACAGTTAATTGTAATATTCACAAATACTAACATGTAACGAATTAGTAATTTTAATGCGTATGAAGCAAGTTATATGTATACATAAATTAACGAAAAAGGAAATTACTATTATACATGCAAGGGGCTTTAATTAAGTGTTGCGGCACTGATTAAATAATTACCGAAATCGCTCATATTCTTAGCAGTAGCGTGAAGTTACTTAATTGTATGTTGATGAGGCAGCTGTCGATTTTCATTTGCTGTTATATTGATCGTTTCACTATCAAAGCATTCACGTCTCCGTGGATATATTTACAGGTGGGAATTAAGAGGTATAATGTCTGATCTCAACATTTATTTGTAAATATCGAGACTTAGTATCATGACAGTTTTGTACATTCTTGATTATTACAAATAAATTCCAATTTTATTGCGCTGATTTGGATAATTATTTTCTTCAAAATTCACTCTATCCTACTTATGAAGACATGGATCAATTTCTGAAAAATTCATCTAAAGGTTTTCAGTCTTTCATTTCAATTATAGTATGACGTTGAAACATTTGACAGCTACACCTCTGAAACGATACTTCGCAAGAAGATGATTCTGGACTTGTTACAATTCTAGCTATCACTAGAAAATTTTAGTGGTCACCACATCGGATCGTTGAATCCAAAATTATCTGCGATATTGTGGAATTGGGTCAGCTATAGTTCTGGACTGTCCGGAATACTTTCACAGACGGATGTCTCATCTCTGCGCGAATGTCATTAGTTGTCTGCGATAAATTTTGATGCCGATAAAGAATTCATAATTTGCAGGTAGCTTAAAGTTATTCAAAAATTGCTTTTACGTTTACGAATTAATCCAAAGATAATAATACGTTTTCGATTATATTTTCGTTGTAATATAATCAGTACGAAAGACAGAATACGTTTGTCATTGAATGATTGTCCACATCTTTTAATCATCACCATCACAAGTTCGCATTTCCATAAAAAGTTTTCACGAATCTCCAACTACCACTGCAAATGTTTTGCATTAGCGACTTCCTATTTCTGACATTTTTTATATCCAAGGTATTTTCATCCCTTTGTAGGTAATAGTAAGAATTTTATTTTACCTGCTTTAAGAACAATTGCATTTACATTACAGTTAATAAAAAATAGGCGAGATAGGTTGGTAGGACACCTTCTGAGGCATGAAGGTCTAGTCCAGTGGTTTCCAACCTTTTTGTTCCTGCGCCCCCTTTAAAAAAAAAATGTTGCGCTCCCTTAATTTTTCTCACAATTACAACATTATAAAAATTTAATGCGACGGTTGAGCTTGTTTTTCAGCCAAAATTTTCTCAAACCGTGGTACCATTGAAGAAATCGCGATTCTCAGTTCCTTTTTAATCACTAAGCGAGATCGATACTTTGTTTTTAAGGCGCTACTGTAGAAAAACCAGTTTTACATAGGTAAGATGTTACAAATAAAACTTCTAAAGCTTTGTTCAAGTAGGAAAATCGTCGTCGTCGAAAATGATATTTTGAAAACAGCTGCATGCTCCTCTTGCAACCGTCTCGCGCCCCACAGGTTGGAAACTACTGGTTTAGTCAGTGACATATTAGAGGCAGAAACGGGAGTTACCAGGGGTAGAGGTAGACCTAGATTAGATTACTGTTCGCAAATAGTTAAGGATGTGGGATGTTCTAGTTTTAGGGAAATGCTAAGATTAGCTCATAGTAGGAAGGAATGGAGGTGTGTGTCCAAGCAGTCTTTGGACTGACGACCTTACGTAGGACCTATCAAAGCGTTCTAGAGACAAAAACTGAGATAAAAAGAAACTACGTCAGTGTGTGTTGCTTATTGACACTGGGACATCCCCTGGGAATCATCCCTTTCGAACTGGTAATTTATTGTCCATCGTAACTTTAAGTTTTAACACAAATATTTATCGGATATAAGAGGATGTTCGCTATGTTCCTAGACCTTTAAAAATTTTTATTGTGGGGGTAGATAAGCAACTATAAGAGGTACATTTTAAAATTATTTTCATAATATACAGGGTGTCCAAAAAACACGAAACGTATCAAAGTGTGTTTTCTTAAATGGAACACCCTATACGTTTTTACATTTTTGAATTTTATGATTAAAATAACAGAGAGCTTCATTAAGGTTTACCTCACCTAAACATTAAGGATTTTTGAGTTTTGTGACGATGGTGGGGCCAATGCTGAAACGTATTATGGGGATATGAAGAAGAAATTGCTTCTGTAATGTGCTTTTTTGCGTTACATTTTTTGTTCATTTTTTTCTTAATTAAGAACAAAAAGTTTTGTCTAATATGGTAATCATATTTGCCGTACCTACACATGGTTCACACAAACAAAACAATTAGGGGGGAGGGTGTTTTTGAGCAGACAGATAGGCTGTCGAGATATTTGATGTATTCGTAAATGGGGCCTGAGGTTTTTACATGTATCAGTTTTGGGTTTTCGTTTTAATCTTTCAGGAAGTATCGGTTTTGAAATAGACAAATTCCTCTACACCATTTTGTGATAATGTCCGGATCAGATCATGATCATGATCATTCGGCTCTTAAAATTTTGAGCGGCAAGTCACGGACACTGCGACGAACCGTTTTTGTGTTTTCGGTTCTTCTAGAAGCAAAGGACGAAAGATTCGGACCCCTTCACCATTATTTCTTTCGGAGTTCAGTATCTTCGATATTACTGGGATTCAAGAACCGGATTATGAGATTCAAAAACCGGGTCATGGTCTGAATCTTTGACATGACGCAGATCAGTAGATCTGGTTATTCAACTGTCCAAAAAGATACTCTCATCACTGCCGACAACTGGTTAACATGAATCTATATACTCATGTCATTGGCTCATTAAATCGACGTAATGTCACATTTGAAGAAAAACTCCATCACTTTAGTTAGGGTAATATGCAAATATTAGTTTCTTTGATGAATGCGTACCACGCCGTTTATGGAAAGAATCCCTTCGGAAAAAAAATGATAGCTAGTATTGATATCCTTGGTATATCTCGAGGTACATAAGTAATAATTAGTAGGATGAAGTAATTGACTAGCTCTCATACTGTCGATACAACGGTATCACCTATGTTCCTGTTTGTGGAACCCATGTCAAGCGTAATTCATACAGCGATGATAGCCTTCGGAAAGTCTGCAACCGGCAAAGAAAGAGTTTGTCTCCTAAGAGTTTCACTATAATTTCCAGATCAAACGTAACTGCACCATAGCTAGAATAATCGTCCATTTGGGTCTTGATAGACAAAATATATCAGAAAATCATTGTCGAATGTACGAACGTGGACCAATTAAGCATGACAAAAATATAACAAACACTTCAGTCATTGTTCGTTAAGTATAATTAAGAAGCGTCAAGTATTTTTTCCTGGGGGTTTGTTTCCTAGATCCGTATTACATTTACACACGTTTTAATTAGAAACATAAAAACGATGGGTCTGACCTAGGTTTGCTGCACAAGATCGTTTATGTAGGCGCATTATTATGACCCTCGTCTAGTAACACCATTTTACAATTAAACGTTAATCAAATGTTCAAAACCTTCAATCAGGCTTTTTTGTTACAGTGAGGCCTACAAAGTTGGAATTAGGGGGAGTCAATAGCCATGTGGTTCAAGGATCAAATGTTTTACTCACTTGTGATGTGTACGGAGCAAAACCTGCAGCTGAAGTGAAATGGTACAATAATTCAGATCTGATTGTCAATCCTGACAAAGTTTTAACCATTCCAGAAATGATGGTAAGTACATATAATAATTGTTATTTCCGAATATTGAAGGTTGCATCGTTTTTAGTGAAATAATGTAGGACGAACGTAGTCATATCTAGATGTGTATTTTATAACAAGGAAGACTACAGATAGCAATGAAAGTCTTATTGGCTGTGTGCGAAGTAGGTGGTGGGAGAGATACGATTCGATCGCACCGCGCGCCGTGACCAAACAAGGAACTTTCGGCGGACCAAGTGTCAGTATTTACTAATGAAATTTACGTATCTCTGCATTATTAGGCAAAAATAAATAAATATGCGACAATAAACCTACTGGGTAGTTAAGTACAAAAATAGTAATCGCAAATTCTATAAATTTCCACAAGCAAATTGGAAACGAGAATAACGAATGAAATGGATAATTGCTATAATTTAGACATATTTAACTAAAATACATAAACAGTATGCATTGCTTACAACCCTACACTCATAAATAATTGTCTACAATATATATATAATGCGTTATTCGATTGAATTTGTTTATTTATTTATTTACTTTTCATGAAGACAGTTACAAAAAAAAACGTGTGCACTAGCTGACTGTGCCATTTTAGACGAGAAATAAAAAAGATTAACGTTATTATCGACAGTATACATTTGTATGATCGAATAGAACATGTGTAAATGACGATATTTCGTATAAATTATTTGTTTGTCTACTTATTTTTCGTCATGACAGCTAGCCATTTGACATTTTAGTCCGCCGTAACTGTAACCGCTAGGTGGCTCTTCCATCGCGCACTCAGCCAATAGAACCCCGCAATAATGCAGTGCGCGAGTCGTAAAAGCATCACCAAGTTGTGTTCGGCAGTTCGCTGCGCAGCAAGGCAGTGCGCGTCTAATTTGACGAATAGGCAACGAGGTTTTGCGTTTACAGTGGACTCCTACATTTTATATCCTTCATTAGTCATGACGCTTTCCAAATTAATTCGTTTCGGAATAAATTTTTACTCCTAATCTTTAGTCTTCTTGTGATAACATGTTACTTTTTATTTGCCTGTTGTATTTTCAATTAGTACGAAACGTAGAATAAATGCCGTATGTCTTTAAATAATTAGTAATTAATATTTCTATTGTTAAAAAAAAGGCTGCAATCTGTAATATCTCGACTCTGGCAATATTTACAAAACGTTTAAAATTAAAAACATGTAGATACATACTTAAGTATAATATACGTCACAAAATACGTACAAATTTTAATTTTGTGATTTCGAATTGTCCTTCCTTGGTCTACAAATGGTTGTTTCAATATTAAAGTGAACACAATAATTAGGTATTTTTGTAATTTTGGTTATATTTTTTGTATTAAACAAGCAAATCTTTTGCATAATTTGGGTATGTCCTTATCGTAAAAATGATTGTTTCAATTTCTAATTAAATACATTAATGTTATTGCAATTTTGATTGTATATTTTGTAGTAAACAAGCAACTTTTTTATAGATTAAATAGATTATATATGAGTAAATTATTATCTGAATTAAAGTACTTTTCCTCTACGTATGTTGTTCTACATTTTTCGCAGTAACTTAAAGAAGCTTTTATCCTTCAGAATTTTATTAAGTCGGAGAACTCGAGAGCGATCAACTTGACAAGGAAAAAGACCAAGTTTTATGAAAGTTATAATCTTGTAAATCTCTTTTCATTTTTCTACAAAGACGTTTAAAAAGGAATAAAGATCGTTACAAGCAACTACTAACGAAGTTGACATAAAGCCAATAAGACTAGTTGCAATAACAAATTATAAGCCGCATCAAAAGATCTATCTAATCTAAGCAAGGATTTAAGAAAGAGAACTTAATTAAAAATGGTGACTAATTAATCTAACTGAAATTACAACGCCGGTAACAGATTTGAAAAATCACTTTCGAAAATGAATTTCAAACAATAAATGACAGCTTTAATAAAATGGAGTTTCTCTTCAACTCAAAAAAAAAATGAAACGTTTCAGTCACTCGGCAGGTATTTAGCACAACTTTTGCACGCTGTTCATTTTGGAATCCACGTGTACTGTACACATTAAAAAATTGACAATTTCTTTAGATTTGTAACACTGTATAATCGTGCCTGACCCTAATAATGAGCACGCTTAAAGAATTTCAACCAAAAACCAATCTTTTGGTTTCTTCATCCTACAAAATTTCAGAATTTCTGGTGTCTTCCGGTATTAGACTGTTAGATCATCCGCTCTACAGTCCAGACCTAAAGCTACCCTACGATTTCGCATCAACTAAAAGAACGCAAGCTTTCATCATATGAAGAGAAGATTTTGACCACCTGTTTCACCGTGTCAAAGAAAAATATGGAACCTCTGGTTTGATAATTAATTTGAGCGTATGTACAAATGTGTTCATGTGACCTTACTAAGTGGCCTACGTATTCCTAGCACAAAATTAAAGTTGGAGTATCATAGATTTAGAGTAGGCAAACGCATTGGAAGTGCGTTTTGCATTAAAAAGAAAGAAATAAAAAATAAAGGGACTTCATCTATAGTTTTTTCATTTCATGTACATTTGAGTGTCATCTGTGCTAGCCAATCAGAAACACCGAAACAGAGAAGAAGAGAGGGTTCCACAATTTTTCATCTCACGTCTGAAAATTACTGAAAGGGTTGTACGAAACTTGCCTGCTGTATTGTATCTATGTGTGGAATATATGTTACAGTTAATTCTTAATCTATTCTGGAAGATGCAATTAACTATTGAGAAATATAAGACAGTTTTCTTGATAGAAATTCTAGGAAGAAAAGATTATCACGCTCAGATTTTCGGATGATATAGCCCACATGATAATTTGTATTGACAGTATGCCTGGCTACACCTTACTTTTCTATATGAGATGAGTTAGATATGACTCTTAGTGCCAATTAGAGACATATACCAGAAGCAGAAACGTAGATATAAATCTAGGTTGGATTACTGTTCACAAATAGTTAAGTACAGGTCGGACGAAGGAAGCTGGCGAGCGGTCGCGCAGGTACTTGCCCATTTATGACTTATTTGGGTAAGTCACTTGGAACCGATACACAAATAAGCTTTCAGTAGGCGTAAATTATAGTATTAATATAGATAGGATAGTAGCGTACTAAAAAATAATGTAGAATTTACCAAAAAGAAAAAATATATTGCTTTGGTTTTATAGTTAGTTTTCACATTCACTGTCATCATGGGAATCTCTATCACTGTCACCAACATCAACAATTAGTTCTTCTGTTTGTCTGTCTATTACTTGCTCACTGATCCCTATTTTTAAATATTTAATCTACGCCCCTGATACGAATATTGAAGAAAGAGGCCTGCAATCGTTATACCTAAAACTGTCTACTTTTGCCACCGCGCATCCACGCCATTTTAAAATTTCCGCCAGCTTCCAGCGTCAGGCCTGTACGTGGGATGTTCTAGTGAAATGCGAACATTTTCTCAGAATAACAGTTGAGGTGCGTGCCCAACGAGTCTTTGGGCTGACGACCCTATGATGATGATGATGATGACTCCTTATGCTCAACTGGAGTGGTTCTTTTAGTTGATCAACGTATTTTAATTCACAACCCTGACAATTAATTTCATCAACTCACGACGTACCTATTCTGTCTTCAGTGTTTCCTGAGTAGATTTTGAGGCTATTTTATTGGTTTTAAATACAATTGTAAAACCGAATTTTTTAAATATGTTGCCAATTCCTGGTAAAATATAATGGAAAGGTATACCCATCCTATCTAATTTAAAATGTTCTTATTTATGACTTGATTGATTAAATAGCGCAGAGAAATTTTTGAAGTTCACCTTAAGTTGTCTTTTACATAGCAGATTATCAACAATTTCAGAAGGGAAATCATTGAAGTGAGCTTTCGTTTTATAGTTGTATTGTTACTTCACTCTTCGTAGACAAGGAGAATCGATCAGCTAAAAGAACATTCTAGTACTTATATTTTCTATCGTTCTCCAGCACGGATTATAAAAAAAAGTGCTCGAAATCTAACGCTTGACCCAGAATACTCTGCTACGTGACGACCGTATCTTCTTCTCAGCTACCTTTTTTGCTTGCGTTGTTCTTTCACGGCAAGGAAAACGAACTTATTAAACATGCATTCGCATTTCAGGGAAAAGACGTGATGTTTAACGGACTGTGGAGCATACACAAGTTTAAAGGGAATTTTTACAGTAAAAGAGATTGTTCCAGTTTTTCAAACTGCATAGACTCACTTCCTCAGTAAATCTTACCCACTTAAATTCAAAACATACAGCATGATTTAGATGATATATTAAAGCCTCATTTTTTAATCTGAATATAAAGCTACTGATAAATTTTCAACTATTTTGCTTGATGTTACGGAAGATTGTTCTGAATAGCGAAGTAGGTGTGTTACAGTGAACGAATGCCGAAAGTGACGATCGATTTGGCGGTGTCTTTGATAATACTGCCGGCATCTGAGAGCTATGGTGGTTGATGACAGTCAAACAGGAAATAGGATGCACGACAAAAGGAGAAGTTTCCGCAATTATTCAAGAACATTCCATGACAATATTATAAATGAGTAATCAATATTTAAAGAAGTTTGTTAATTAATACCATAGTCAACATTAACAACAAAAAACAACTATATTGCATGCCATTCAAACCGGATGCTGCTGATGACGGGCTGACCCACCGACCTACATTGTAGTGTGAAGTGGTAGGTAGAAAAAAAGGCCCTCTTCAGCAACTATTAGAAATAGCGTGAATGGGTGGGTTAGGATTAGGGTTGCCACCTTTTCAGGCTTTACATAAAGTATTTCTCGACTAAAAGGTTCGAAAGAGAATAAGTACTCAGCATAAAAATAAAGTATTTTATTTTTTGTTTTTAAACATATTTTTTGTTACACCTAGCAGCCAGTAACAAATTGCTGTCGCTCTTACAATACATTAATAGCATCTAAACAAGGCAAACAAAGATTTAAGTAAAGTAAAAGTTCATTTTTAATTAGTTTCAATGA